TTTTTTTTTTTGTGGGGGGTTTGAGGGGAAAAGGGGGAGGATTTGGGGTTTTTTTGGGTTTGTTTTTTCCTTAAAGGGGAAAATTCTTTCTTTTTTTTAAAAAAAGGCCCCTGGGGAAAAACCATTTTTTTTTTTGTTTTTTTTTTTTTTTTTTGGGTGTTTTTCCGTTTTTTTTTTTTCCCCCCCGGAAGATTTGTGGCAGCTTTTTTTTTTGTGGGGAATTTTGGGGGGGAAAACCTTTTTTTTTTTTTTTTGGGGGGGGTTTTGGATTTGGGGGTTTTTGGGTTTTTTTTTTACCTTTTTTCCGGGGGGGGGGGAACCCTTTTTTTTTTGGGAGAGAGGTGGGGGGGGGTCCCGGCTTTCCCTGGGGTTATTTTGGGGGGGTTGGAAGGCTTAAAGGGGGGGTCCCAAGGGGGGACCCCGAAAAAAAAAAAAAAAAAAAAAAAAAAAAACGTTTCCCTGGTTGGGGGTTTTTTTTGGGTATTCCCCCTTTTTGGGGGCCCCCCCCCCCCCCCCCCCCCCGAGACATTGGGTGCTTTGTTTTGAATGCTCTTGGTTTTACTAAGTGCGAGCTGTTTCGAGGCGACGCCGTTTTTTTTACTGGCGCTGTTCTGAATCCCAAGTGTTCTTGTCAGGTTGGAGCTGCATCAGCACACCCCCACCGACAATTTCTTGATATTGGTGCATCATTAGCGTGCATTCCCCGCCGGTCCTTGGAATCTTTGATCTGTTGCTCTGTCGGTGATAATTGAGTCGGGGTGTTCTGCGTCGAGCGAAGCACGGTCCGGTAGATCGTCTGTTGCACTGTCCGTGATAATTGAGTCGGGGTATTCTGCGTCGACCAAAGCACGGTCCGGTAGATCGTCACTGATGTGCCCGAACAGCAGTGTTTCCGACTAAACCACCGAGCGCTCTGCATGTAGAATATCCTAATTCATGGTATTTCGCTTTCGTGCGTCGACCCGATGTCTCTGTCCAGTCAATCTAGCGAGTGCAAAAGGTTGAAAGGGAGTGTGCGTTTTTTGTTTCGCCCACCTGCCTGTGTGTTGAACCATCAGATGATCCAATACCCCGTGGAATATGGCCCGCTTTGGCACAAGTTTGGTATGTCTCCCTCCAAGGGGGTTCTGTTCTACGGCCCCCCTGGGTGCGGGAAGACTCTGCTGGCGAAGGCTGTGGCCAACCAGTGTAACGCGAACTTCATCTCCGTGAAAGGTGAGTCCAGCGGTTGATGTTGGTTTGCGTTGGTATTGCTGGTGGTAATGGTGGTACAGGTGGTAGTGGCGTGCGGAAGGTCTCGCGGCCTTGTTGTCGTTGTCGTTGTCGTTGCCGCTGTGGTTGGTCTTGGTGTTGCCGCTGATGGTGACGGTGTTGTTGTTGTTGTTGTTGTTGTTGTTGTTGTTGTTGTTGTTGTTACTGCTGTTGTTGTTGTTGTTGTTGTTGTTGTTGTTGTTGTTGTTGTTGTTGTTGTTGTTGTTGTTGTTGTTACTGCTGCTGTTGTTGTTGTTGTTGTTGTTGTTGTTGTTGTTGTTGTTGTTGTTGTTGTTGTTGTTACTGCTGTTGTTGTTGTTACTGCTGCTGCTGTTGTTGTTGTTGTTGTTGTTGTTGTTGTTACTGCTGCTGTTGTTGTTGTTGTTGTTGTTGTTGTTGTTACTGCTGCTGTTGTTGTTGTTGTTGTTGTTGTTGTTGTTACTGCTGTTGTTGTTGTTGCTAGGGTTGTTGGTGGGGCGTGGGGCGATGCTGGTTGTACCTCCATGCCCGATCCCATTTCCATGCGCTTACATCATACCGCACTAAGCGACCCCGGTCTACGCCCAACCTCACTTGTCCCCCTCCCCCGTACGCAACCATCTGGTTGGGTTGGACGGCAGGACCCGAGCTACTGTCGATGTGGTTCGGCGAAAGCGAGGCAAACATCCGCGAGCTCTTCAACAAAGCCCGGGCAGCGTCCCCGTGCATCCTGTTCTTCGATGAGATGGACTCCATCGCTAGGGGCAGGGGCGGATCGGGCGGGGGCGGCGGCGGGAGTGACGTGGGAGACCGGTGAGATGGGTGTGTAGGTGTAGAGCTATTGTGATCCGTTGTGGATGCTCCTCGCCGGTTGATGGTGGATGTCTTTTTTTGTCATTGTCTTTGAAAGCCAACGTGTTGCCATGCGGCGGGGGCTTGGGGGTCCCGTGTGGGGATGAGGAGAACTGCTTGAGATTCCGCGGGCCCCCCCCGTCGTTGTTCGTTGACGCTAGATTGCGTCGGTGCATTTCCTTGTCATGCGTCCCCCCGCAGACCGCCGTGTGTGTGCTTGGGTAAGGCCTGCCGGCCAAGTCCTGGGGTTGATTTCGATGTTGTAGGTGATACCAGTAGTCAGGGTCTGTGACGCCCACCGGTGGTGCTCTCAAAGAGTATTTGCACCCTGTTCGTGCGGTTCTTTACGTCTCCTCAGAGCAGGCATGAACCACAAGTTATTGATCGCCCTCGCGCCTTTTGTCGTGCGGCCAAACAGGGTGATCAACCAGATTCTAACGGAGATTGACGGCGTCGGACCGGCTAAGATGGTCTTCATCATCGGAGCCACGAACAGACCGGACATCCTAGACAGTTCCGTCACTCGCCCAGGTGGGTTCACTAGAAGAGCCTTCAGATCAGGACGGGCAGCCTCATTTTTGGATGGCGTTGGCGTTATTATGAGTGCATACTCGCTGGAGTCAGGATATGGCTTCGTTGAGGTTGGCGAAGCACAGCGGGGACGCAGTGTATCTCGATTTTGTTAGGACGATAGGAGTTTGTCCTTGTGTAACTCTGGTTGCCACGGAGATGAATCCCTTTCTGGCCTGGCGGAACTCTCAATGATCATGATCTGATTCATGTATGGGGGTATATCCAACCTGAAATATCCAGCCAGTCACCCAGGTGGTTGATTCACAGGGAAAAGAGTGTTGTGCTCGCTCTCCTATGGAAGGACCCACGTTTTGCCAATTTAACAAAAAAACAGTTTGTTTGTGTTCCTGAGAGTGCCCATCGATCGGATCTGCTCCTCTCCCCCATGGCCCGCCAATCATCATCCCCCATTGTCTGTACTTGCCGGCATTCGCCAAGGCGAACACAAGACAACGCGAGCTAGCGACGGGCTGAACCACTGCCCGTGTTGCAGCGCACACGTTGTTTCTTCTGTGGTTATTTTTTGCATCGACCGCACTAACCGGCTGACAAATGAAAATATGTCAGTCTCAGTTGAGTGTGCCTTTTTTTTTATTATTATCGCAGGACACCTGGACCAGCTGATCTACATCCCCCTGCCGGACCACGACAGCCGGCTGTCGATCCTCCGAGCTAACCTCCGAAAGAGCCCGGTTTCGGACGATGTGGACATGGACGCCATGGCCGAAGCTACTGACGGGTTCTCGGGGGCCGACTTGACAGGTTTGCGCGGACCCGCACGTTCTCGTATGCATATGTTGGGACAGCAGTAGCAGTAGCAGCAGCAGCAGCAGCAGCAAGGAACCCTCCCCGCCCCTCTACTTTTTTTGCGAGAGCGCTTTGTTGTGAGGAGTAGTTGTGGGGGCTTTGGAGTGCTGGCATGAGGAGGCGTTTTGGTGCCGAGCTGGAGATGGTTCAGGAGGATACCCAATAGTTATTTTGTACGGTGTGCGATGTGATGTTTTCATGCAGTTTTTTTGTTGGTAACCAGTCCCCGTTCGAGCGAAAACCCCCCTACAACGAATGCGTCGAATATTTTTTCATCAGGGAGTGTTGAGGTGTGAACAGTGGGCTTGTTTTTTGCCATGCTTGATTCTGTATTGGTGTGCAGGAACGTCAGAGCAAGTCGCCCCGAACTTTCCGAGAAATCCCTAAACTTGCACCCTCCAGTAGTAGTCTAGTCTACGCAGGTGTTTCCAAGTAAACAAACATACTGGATAGAGTGTAGAACCGGCTGAGTTGGGGTTAGGGTTACGGTCTGCGTGCCCCCTCCCCGTTATTTTTCCTTGATGTGCTTACTTTATTGGCGTACGCAGTTCGCAACCTCCCCGCCGACTCAACATGCGGAATACCGCTCGCCCTTGGGACACCCCCGTTGCCGCCAAGCCTGTCTGTGACTTATCCTTGCGGGCGGTGCGTGTGCGCTTGACTCTGGCAGAGATCTGTCAGCGGGCGGCGATGAACGCGATTCGCGAGAGCGTGAGACACGAGATCGACGTGACCTTCCGTGCGGAGGAGCGGGCAAGGATACGGGAGGAGGAAGGCCTCGAGTCTGAGGATGAGGAGGAGGAGATGGAGGGCCCCGATCCGGTTCCCGCCATCACGAGGGCTCACTTCGAGGTCGGTGCCTTCTTTCTTGCGTGTTTTAATGTTTGTTTGGGTCTTTAGTATCAACATCGACCGCCCTAAAGCGGCTGGACAATGAGAACACAACAGCCTTGTAACGGCATCAGAAACGCGAACACGCTTGTGTGTCTGTGTGTGCGTGCGTGCATGCTTTCGAATTAGAGGTTGACGAGCTTCCGTAGGTGGTGGGAGATACCAGGGCCCCGTCTTGGACAGGACTTGTTGCGAATCACCTCGCCATTCACACAGAAAAAAATTTACTAGGGCATGACAATGAACAGTTGGCAAGCTCTCGGCAAGATCGGCCGAAAGCTACCGCGTACGATACGGTCGATCTTGCCCTTTCGAGAATCTTAATACCGGAATCAGCATCAATCCAATATTTTCGCTGCGTCGCCTGCGGCGATTGAGATCGTCAATTTGGTGCTATCGCTTGCCTATCTATCTGAGAATATGGAGTGAATTTTCAATATTCCTCTTTTTGGACTTTTCCATTTTCAGGAGGCTCTCGGACGTGCTCGCAAGTCGGTCAAGCCAGAGGACATCGAGCAGTACAAGAGCTTTGCCAAGAACTTGAAGGTACGTTTTGGCCACTTGATAAAAAATTCAGGCCCCCATTTCATCTGTTGTTGTCTGGCGCGATGTCGGGCAGTTGTCATCGCAGGTTAGTGACGACAGTAGTGAGCATCTTGTATGCATATGAGTGCATCGAGCACGCCGTGGCCACATTCATGTCCATTTATTCATCTTGTTGCGCAAACCCCTCATTGCACAGCGATGTCGGACTTGCAAGATGGGACTTCATGGTGAATTGGGTCTGAATACTTAGCATTAATGTTTTTCCCGTGGGGCATATGGCCGTTCGCCGACGTGTGGCTTGATCGTTGTGATTTTCACTTGTTCACTTGTGCTGTGTCTGAAGAGGTTGGTTGCTCGAATTGGGCTGTTCTACAGAGAGCACACATTCACGTGTACACTACACCATCCGTGCCTTTTACTTCCGCTTTCTTTGGCAGGATGAGCGAGGGTTCAACGAGTTCAGCTTCGATGAGTTCGAAGAGAAACTCGCCAAGGAAGAAGGCGTTTTGGCAGCGGGGGAAGTGGACGAGGACGAGGACGAAGACTTGTTCGGGTAGATTCACCAGACGGAACGTCTGCTCGTCATGCCTGTCGTTTTGGGAGATACGGTAGAACACCACGACGCCAAGCCAGTCCGCCGATGCGTCACCTTTGGTGTTGTCGGTCAAATTGGGACACAAACGCAGTTGAAGATGGAAATGTTTTGGGGTCATAAGAGTGGGTGAACCGGCCGTTGCCGGATGATGATGTCTCTCCTTTGTCATCCTTGACGTGTGCGCAGAAGCGTGGGGGGATGTTAGATGTTGAGGGACATCAAACGCCGGTACGCGCGTGCCTGCCGTTTTCAGCGAGACTTGCTGTGTGGGTGCATTGAATGACATCGTCCGGGTTGCATGCACCAATTGTTTCGGAGAGAAGTGGTGTGGGCACTGTGGAACAAGAAGACGATGCGAAGCCTTTCGGTGTGGCAAGACCATCACCTGGTGTTGACGTTGTAGCAGTGGCACACGAGTTCAGTTTGTGGCCTGCCCCGATCTTGTGTCACACAACGCGGGTTTCGGGAGAAAATGCGGGGGCAGCCGTTCGTCACTCCTCGTAGTGAAAGCTGTCGTCCGGTTGGGTATGTCGTAGACGTCTAAACAGTATGCATAGATATCCCATGTGACCTACCTTCTGGGAGTTTTCCAACTGGTCACATGTCACATATAGTTGGAGACGAGAATGGACGAGAATGTGGTGGTTTTCAGGATTTAATGAGATCTAGAGTGTTATGGTGAAGGTGATTTTGCAACATTCCTGGCACCAGCGTGTGCTTCCTCCGTCGTCGTACAAGGTACAGTAGCACTTCTTGAGAATGCCCGCCGGGTGTCTGCCTAGATCAGCTGAGGCTGTGCTGCCTCGCATCTCAGCTACGCGGGTGGGTAATTAATCAAAGCGGAGCGTCTGCCAACGCTAGACTATGTAGAAGGTACTCAGGACTGCCGACACATCGAGGCTGGCCCTGAACGTGTAACCACTACCCACAACAGCGCACACAAGTGATGCCTTCTGCCATATTTTTGGCAAAGAGCAAACACGTACTCAAGTACGAAAACACGGGTGTTCGACAAAAACGGGGACTCTTTCGATGACAAAAAAACCAACTCATCAAGTACTTGTGCTGTCTGTGCTTGTGACTACTGCTGGTCAGCCGATCGGTGCCGCCTACAATAGCAACCCCACCCCCCGTGATTACCGCGGCTTTTCAAATTCGTGCGCAAAGTGTACCCACAGAGAACGACTACAGCTGGCGCCAACCGAGCTCAGTAGGCACCCTCTAGACAAGCAAGGCCCTGATTGGCCGAGGTGGACATTCCAGCCAGAGCCCAAGAAATGAGATAAGGCGTGTCACATGCGCTCGCTTCTCTCTCCTCTGCAGCTCTCTACCCTCTGTGCCGACTGCCCCTTCCCCGCAGTGCAAGTGAGGGAAAACTCTACCGCCGCCAATGGGAACATTCACTCTCACATGGTGCGTTTGGTGGGGCGTTCGCGGTTGCACAAGCTCGTAAACAGCCCCCTGCACAAACCCAACCTTACGAGCTTACGAGACATTGTTTCTCCTCTGTAGCATGGCAACCTCCGGCAGATCGAGGACTAGCAGTCGCGATCTTCCGGCAGATGCAGGACTAGCAGTCGCGATCCTCCCACTGCTATACCTCCCTCTCCCTCTTTGTTGGTGAGTCGCAGCCGTTTGCAGACTTCTGGAGTTTGTCTGGAGTTCAGCGCTTCACGGTGGCGAGACCCTAATGCACGGTCAGATTGTTTGTGGCGCTGCGGGCCATGAAAATAGAGCGAATCTTATGCCCAAACATTACCACATAGACTGCATGAGATGTCCGACTTTCACACAATACCACAACCGAGGTGATGCACAATATACTTTACACCCGTCGTGTGATAGACTAGAGTTTTTCGACCCCCCAAGAAAGAAAAAAAGGCGTAGTTTTATCGCGTGGTAACGCAAGATACCACCCACCTAAAAGTTGAGCAGCATGGAACCCTGGCTTATCCCCTTTGTCACGCGGTGCGATGGAAGCCGGCGATAGCGTGGAGGGGAATGCTGTCATTTTCTCAGACACGGTTATCGGCACAACCGCTAAATTTATGAAAATACCGATAATGACTACATGCTCGCTCGCGTAAGTTCTTGTACCCGAGGCAGTCCAAAGGGTAGTGGGAGAATGTGAGAACGCAAGTGGCGAAGGGGCGTGTAGCATCCTTCCATCGTGATCCACACTACGGTGTGCAGGGTGTGCGCATCGAGGTGCCGCGGCGTTGGAGGGTGCGGCGGATCCTACAATAATAGAATGCCGTCAACCGTCAACTCCACACTCGACACCCAGAAGCGGCACATCACAGCAGCAACATACGGGCATGCAGTTTGATGCACGTTGTACATGGTGTGCCTTCGTGGGAACCTCTCGCGTCCTTTCATCGTGCTCCACAATAGAGAGTATGCAGAGTGTGCTTCGGTTTGTTGCCGGGTACGGTGAATCTCATCAACGAAACACTTCGAGCCGATTCGCCGGGGACCATCGTAGAGACAAACTGCTGCCGAGACCATGGGTATATCCCCTCTGGCCAACCTTCGCTTTGACTACTGTCCATGGCTGCCCTCGCCGTTCGCGGACTTGAACTCCGAATTTCATTTACTGTCGTCGCTGGCTAGCGTGTACGATGTAGACGATTTATTTGGTAGTCTTAGCAGCAGTAGATGTTGATACTATATTTACCGTACCGCTATAGACACAGCATCACAACAACGGTGCACGTAACAGGTCTACAAAGCAGTCGGTGCTTGTGGAGTTGTTTTCTGTGTTTTCTCTGAGGGGGGTGTTTCATCAAGGGGTATGTGTAACTTCTGATGCATACATTTTTAAAGGTTTCCTTTCACGCTAGAACAGCGCACCGACTAAGCCCCTAATAGCAGCTGCCGGTCTAGACGATTCTTCTGCGGTTGGCACTTCGGCGTTTCACTCATCAATACCCTGATGTTTGGTTCTTAACGGAACGTTTCGGGATTCTCCTTTCTAGACCCACCTCCGCCAGGAAAAAGCGTCTTCATTGAGTTGTGGCAGACCCTGCCTGCCTTCTTCAACGCCACGTGGAACACAACCTGGTACCCTATATCGTACACTGATGGAGAAGTAGCGCGGAGTCATGGGGTGTAAGAATTGGCTTCTGGCCTACTAGTCTAACGGTAGCACAAGCGCGTCACAATGTCTGCATTCATGCGCCTCGACTTTTGACAAACAAACGCGTTCGAAACCAAACACTTCAACAGTACTTTAACCCTTTTGGGTCTACAGGCGTCCTGACAGATCATTGATTGACCATTTGCAAATGCTGGTGTGGTGGCATGCCGTGGAGTTGCCGCCCTGTATCCCTCCACGCCTGGTGTTGGCAAGTCAATACAGGTAGGTGTGTCTTTTGTATTCGCATCGACCGCGCTACCCGGTGGCCAATGAAAAGACGTCAGTGCCAGCGGGTAATAAATAGACTATATCAAGGTCCCTGGACGGCCAAAATTCGAAAAATGCACACTGCTCTAAATGCAAATGCCACCATGAATCTCTCCCCATATCCTTTCACAGAGACACACATCAATAGCTCCACATACATGCCCTCGCCCGAATCTAGGAAGCCACTAAAGCAAGACAGGATGACAGCGAAAAGGGGTACTTCAAGCCCAACCAGGCCAGGATATCGTGGTGTGCTGCATATCCTCCAAATTCGAAAGCCGTACACTCCCAAGATCCAGCAGTCATCATGTCAGCAGCAATACTACACAGCAGCAGCAGAATAGACGAGTCCAACATACAGCAGTACCGTAGTAACACATACACTATCATCATAGCCCCACACATACCCTCGCCCGAACCTAGAGAGCCACTGATGTAAAGGTAGATAGGTGTGTGCTGGTGTGCTTGCGTGCTTGTGGGAATTGTGGGAAAATCAAAGGAGCTGTAGCGAGCCGGCAGGGCTCTCATTGGGGAGGGGACAACAACCAGCTACGGGTTTACAAGCCCTCTCACTCATGTTCACCGATCATTTGAATATACTGAAAATAGAGTAGTTTAGGCGGCTTGACGACTGATCTTTTGGAGGTCTACAAGCCTAACCTGCCCTACCGGCCGCACCGCGACCACGCGTCAACCCTGTCTGTGCCCACCGTCCTGTAGCGGGCAGCCCTCATGGCCTATATGGTGGAGATAGCTGTTGCGTCTGTCTACAGAAGTACACTCGTCTCTTTTGCTGTACTTCTGTCTCGCTCTCCCGCACTCTCTCCTCCCCTTATTTTTTCCCCGAAAAAAAACAAAGAGCTAGACCAAAAGGGGGGAATGGACCGTCGGAAGCAAATACATGCCAAAATAGAGTAGTTGCAAGAATGGCCAATTTCCTCCCAGCATCCTCGTTTCCGTACTCGATAGCGCTTTCGCCGGTGCTTGATTTCGCCAGGTGATCACTTCTGATCGGGTCCCCGGCAGTAACCCTCTATCACACCAACTACCAAGCACCAACCATCAGCTGTCCGGAAAGTAGGCAGCTTATGAGTAACGTGCTTAGCAAACCCAAGCGAAACTAGCGCGGGCCAACCACGTAAGAATGTTTTTCTAAAATTGGAATCGCGAGAGGGGCGAAACTTCCACCAGACTCGCCGGGTTGCCTGCTGCCGCCGTCCCACTTCCACCTCATTTTTCTGTTGTTCCTGGTGCGGAGGCCTTCTGTTGGCGTTTGGACGACGGTCCTACAGGGCTGCAATCCAACACGATGATATAGGCAACGGGCAACATAACAAACACCGGATAGAACAGAACAGGAAGGGAAGGTATTTTATTTTTATTTTATTTTTTGTCTTCACTTCAAATCAGCGCTCACAGCACTAGTGCCGTTTACTCCATCCCGTGGTCACACAGAAGAACCCCTCTCTACCTTGCCCTCCTGCGGTACTTTGCCTTCGATAAGAGTTCAGCACTCTCTTCCCTCTGTGTACACACGAACTAGCGCTATCCACTAGGCTCTCCGGCCCATGATAGATAGTGACTCCTACTCTCAGTTGATACCTCGCATAGCGCGCAGAGGGAGTGGAGGATTCCAGAATATCTGTCGTTGATTTCTATTGACTTGCGGACCCCTCGGGGCCAGTTTATTTGAGTGTACCTTTTTTGGGTAAGTTAACCTGTGACCACGGGAATCGACCGCGTCGAGTGTTGGATCAGTACGGACATACGAAGGTACTGGGTAGAGAGAGATCGGAACGGTTTTTAATGTGAAGACAACAAACAAAACTAAAAAAACTAGGTCAGAAGCGGAAGCGAGAGAAAACTCACTTTGCAAGAAAAACTCGCTTACGCCGGGATTCGAACCCCTGACCTGACCTCTAGAAGGTTTCGAGAATACCACCTAGACCACCGGGGCGACCGGCTCCCAAAAGGTTAAAAATCCATGCCGGGGCTCGAACCCGGAATCTTCCGCTTCGTAGGCGGACGCCTTATCCATTGGGCCACACGGACGATACACACACCGTTTCAATCCAGGTATCACAACATGGGCCAGAGTATTGGGCAAAGTCGCCCCTCAATGCAATTTACCTGAAGAAGTGCTAACGTATAGCCATGCAGGTGATAAATGTAGCGCAAGCCATCTCCAGTCTGGGCGATATACTCTAACGACCAAGGAATAGGCTGCCACGAAGGGTTAGTCGCGTTCCGGAAGAAGCCGAGTCAAATATCACTTAGAAAGTTGGATTGATGCTTCGATCGAAATGACATAAGCACGTTGAGAATGCAGAGATGCCCAGGGTTAGACCATCGGTGGGTCTGGAGTTTCATCCGATATTGCCCCCCGGACGTAGAGGGAACGGTAGAAAGTCTACGAACAGCTGGCCTTTGAGAATCAGTCCCACTCCAAAATAGATATGTTAGCTATTGTCTTCCTTGACGGGGCGGGGATACTGTTGCAGTTGACTAAGTAAGTAAGGAAGCCAATAGGGAAACGACACAACAAGGTATGGTATACACTTGACAAGCAGCGACGCAGTCAGATACCCCATACTCTAGACCAGCGTGAAATGAGCCTAGCTGGTTGGTCGACGCCCAGTTTCGCCCTGCCATATCACCAAAGAGCCCGGAGTGTCCCGTGCCACGGCAGCTTTAGGTTGCAATTGCACCCTGCTTTCTCTACTGCTGCACCCTCCCCTGACGGGAAATGGGACGTTCCCATCTGCCCTTTTTTGCCGACAAATCGCCTTTTGCTCGAAGCAAAGGACATCAAAACACGAATCTTCCAGCTCTAAAAAGAATGGCGACCTCAATCTGAGAGACCCTCCATGGCTGAACACAGCATGGTTGGCACGCCGAATGTAGCAGAGCAAGAGTGCAGCATTCCAGCAGAGCAATGGATGGATGTGTGGTGACAGAGCGAGGGAGAGGAGAGCTACACACGTACCAAACGAATCATGATGCACAGGGGCGAGTCAACAATTGTTGCCATATATAGTTGACGTGTCCGTGACTAGTACGCCATGGTTGGAAGATTGGCCTATTGCTTTCAAACTGATCGCTGCAAAGACAGATAACCATGAAACGGGGACCTCCTGGAGTCAACCCTGCCACCGCCTATAACATCCTTGCTGATGATCGGTAGCTTTTCGCAGTTTTTGTGAAGAAAAAATATCGGTATGCATGCATATATATATATGGCATTATAAGCAAGTACAAAATACGATGCGTCTACAGTGTGGAAAAGTCTGGGGAATTTGGGGTGAATCTTGCGCCAAGGCCTGTCCCTCTCTCGGCTATACCACACCTACATCATTGCTGTATTGTTTTGCTGCATGCATGTTCTGCTTCAGATGACGTGTCAATGGTCCTCCATTACGCCACGGAGTGTGTCTAAGAAATCGGTTGCCAACAGATTTATTTTCGGAGCTGGAAGGAGGGGTGGAGCAGGTTGTGATTTCTGCGGGGATACTCTGGCCGACGAAAGGGTTCCGAAAACACTGTGATTTCCAGCAACTCAGGGTACAACGGTAGCGACAAACTGCCGCGGCAGGGAATACCCCCGGGTTTTTAGTGATGACAATGGAGGGTGAAGGTCGCCGGCGTCAACCAATCAGCCACACATACAGACATATATATGTTGAAGGCTAAGTCTCATTTTGGTCGGGGGAAAAAATCCTGTTGTATTGTGTCGTGTACCCCCAAGAAATAGTCTACGTTTCAAGTACCATCTCGTGGCTGAGACTCAGCAATAAAGCAACACGGACAACACGCAAAACTTCCGTTTTCCCTTATCTATTCAGTGGTATCGAGACCGCGCGCCGTGTACCGGCTGATCATGAAACAACGCAGTTATTCCGGCACGAAATACCCTACCTATCAGCTCCTCAATGAAATTGGAAACAAACCTATTGGAAGAGCGCAATCTAGCAGGGGTGGGATCCCCTGACCGTGCGTGCGTGCGTGTGAAACGATTGCTCTCTACAGCTTGAAGACGTGCAGCCATTCAGACTGACTGCTTCTCGCACGCTTGACACGCTTGTGGTATAGATAGGCGGCACGACGAGGAGGCCGGAGTTCTGCTTAAGAAACGGCACAAGCTCGGGGCGGTACGGGCGGTCGGTATAATATAATAATACCGGTATCGACCACCAGGCAGGGCGATACTTTACGGCGTTAATGAGCGCCGTTTGAGGTGAATGCAAGCGACGCCAAACAAAGCGGCAAATTGCGGGGTGCCAAGATATGGCGCGCCCGAACGAGAAGTAGCGAAGGGGTAAACCGAGCACACGACATGGAAAGAAAAGTTGTTCGGGCGTTTTGCCAGTGATTTATCGCGTTTTAGCGTGAAAATCTAGGAAGGAAGGTAAATACAAACAAGCGTGACACAGCAAGCAGTTCATGTCGCCATGCAACACGCATGGGTTCTTGATTTCTTCACACTTTGCCCGTCCGTCCGTACAGTCGGCGAGGTGCAGCCTCTCTCTGTCTATCCTAGCCCATCCGTGATTTTCCCGTCGGCGCGGTAATTTACGTTAGTTTACTCAAGCCAGGCAAACAGTATTTCGGCGGAAAGTGTACGGCGTCAATTTTTCAGCGGTATTGGCCACATGGCGGTGGTAACATCATTTCGTTCGCTGTATTGTGGAAGGTAGTAGGTGTTGCGTTGTTGGTCGGCGGCAACGATTTCGGCAGAGGAGGCGGTAGAACGAAATAAATATGGCGGTGTTTTGTCGGCGGTAACACCCCACACGGTAACTTTTGCTTGGTTTTCCCTGTTTTTTCGGCGGTTCCGACTTCTTCTGCGGAGGAGGCGGTACACCGACCGGCGGTACATACACCGGTACGCCAGGGCGGTATTTTCACGTTGATCTTTCGCGAAAATCCACTAGACGACATCGTCATCGTCTCTCGTGTTCGGGGGTGGGGTAGTTAAGTCCTCCGTGTCGAGGCAGACCATCGGGCCCGAACGAGAATGATATTGATATTGATCACCTCAAACGCGACGTTATGGCGCCAAAAAAGGATACATATTTGGTGGAAACGGCCGGATTGGTTTGGTTCACGCCAACCATTCATCATTTCCTTTCCTTCAGGTCTCATTGCTCAAGTCAAGTCTGTAGACAAAAAAAGTCCTGATTTAATCGCGAATTGAAATAACGGCACTCAACGTACACAAGTCACCTTCCGCCTGGAGTGAACGAAAACGAAACATGGAACAAATAATAATCCTGATAATAATCCTGTTCTATCAGAATTTTCCCAACATGCAGTGTTGCCCCAGCAGTAGGCAGCAAGCACGCCCCAACCGACCCAAAAAGCCCTATCGGCGCAACAACGAAGAACGAAGAACGAAGAAAACAACAAAAACAACAAAAATTGGGAGGAAATCGGCCGAATGGCCACAATTTTCCAAAGAACGAGTAGTAGTATAGTAGCCAACTCACATCCCTTGCTCCGAGAAACGGTGCCAACAAGGATATGACAACCCTTAACCCCAAGAAAAGCCTCAAGTCAGGAAAGAAGTCCTTCTGACAAAGAAAAGGACTGCGCGGAACTGCGCGGAACATCACCCAAAGCATCAAGGATGCTTTATTCATCCTACACTGCGCGGAACATCACCGAAAGCATCAAGATGCTTAACTTATCCTAGTGGTTGCTTGCCCTGCCAAGGAAGGTGCAAGTACCATATTATATACTTAATATACTATCAGCCAGGTAGAAACACAAAAACAGCCGACAAAACATCAACTACACTACACATGTTACCAAGGTGTGGACATACCGGACCCTTTTTGTCTACCTACTTCACTCTATTAATTTGCCTGTCAGGTCGCATTTATTGCGCTAGCTACGTGGATCAGAGAGAGAGCCTCTGATTCGTGAGTAGGAATCACCGCGCGTGAAAAACTTCATCAGTCCGCGAAAAGTCCTAATTGTTCTAATCCAGAGCTTATTTTCGTTCTAATCCCAGAGAAGAAGCTGTTACGAAGAAGTGGCGGAGTCCATCCACAGCCCCCCGCCTGCAGCAGACACACCGGGATTGGTGGGTGTGATCTCGAAGGAGGGAGAGCACGCGTAGATGGAGTCATCTCCGAACAGACCGACGCGGATCTTGTACATTCCTTCCTCCGAGTCTGCTGGGATAACCACGTCGTAGTCGCCCTCTGTTGTTCGCGGCAGACGCAAGGGGGAGGATGGGGGGGGGGGGGGTTAGGGGGGGGTTAGACGGAGATGGATGGGCGTGGTTGCGTAATCGAAGCGTTGACTATGCTTGATGCACAAGTACTGTTGTCTGGTTGGAAATTCGGTCCATCTACAGTCGGCTCCGTCGGAATATTCTGCTTTTTGCACCATCGGCACTTGGTAAATAGCGGGTGGTTGTGACACAATACAGCACATTAATCTGGGGAGTTTCTCTCAACACGAGAAAAAAACTACTGTAAAAACTCACCGCTGTCACGGCAGCCCATGTCCGGCTTGTCGCAGACGGAGGTGACCCAGCTGCCGCAGTCACCGTTCCCCTCCGCCTTGTAGAGATCGATCTTGAACCGCCCGAGCTGTTCGCCGAACCCGTTGTCGTAGTCGAACTGTGATGCAGATACAGTACAGAGCAGGGGGCGCAAGGAAGGTTGGTCGTGCCCAGCAGAGCTGCTTTGGCTACATTAGACTATGCTTCTACGGAAATAATTGGCTACATCATGCTTCTACGGAAATAATTGGCTACGTTATGCTTCTACGGAAATAACCTTACAACTGTACAGTCGAACACAACAAAACCACACGGAAAAAATGAGCACTTGCTGCAGTTAGCTCACCTCTACGGTGTACGTCTCTCCCGCGACAGCCAGCGCGTTAGCCTCCGGCGCGACCACCTCCATCGTCGGCCCCCCCGGCTCCCCGAATTCGAGGACATCCGCCGAAGCCACGAGGTAGAAGTCTTCCGAGCACCGGAAGTTGTCCGTACCGACCTCCGAAATCCGGACCCTGTAGCCGTTGTTCGAGTGTCCGGCGACTGGTTCCGGGAAGGTCACCTGGGAGCTCTGGTCGTCTTGGTTCATGCAGGCGTCGTCCGCCTCGGTGCAAACGTTCGCTATCCAGAAACCGCAGTCCTCCGCCTGTGTGGAAAAAAATCGGAAAGAGACGCAGGAGGTTATGGGCAAGGGTTGCCTTTTGTGCACCACGTTGTATGGCGTCATAGTCTGTGTACAACAGCAGCAACAGGCCAGCAAACGGTGTCGTCTGTGTACACAGTAGCAGTAACGTTCGACAGAAAACACCCGACTGGTCACAAGTAACGCACACGTTAATTTTTGTCCTGAAGGGCCAAGGCCAAGCAATTTGAGTACAGCGAGACTACTGCTGCGGTTGTAGAGATGGCGCATTACTGGGAATACTGATACGCAACCGGTTGATCGGACAAGCAACGCCTCGAGGGGCTGACTATTATGCACGTTTCAGGCTCAAGGTCTACTCTGCGGGCGGTTAAACGCAACAGATGTGCAATAATAAATGTGCAAAAATGAAGGGCTTGGATTGGAGATCCCCTTGTTCTCACCTCTCCAAAGCAGAACGAGTACGATCCGCAGTAGTGCAAGTCGACCTCGAAGCGGTCGTCCGCCTGTGCGCCTTGCCACGACACGAGGTAGGGCCTGCGTGTTCGAGAAGGAGAAAGCGGAGGGAAAAACAGGACGGAATATTAACGGCCAAAAGGCAAAGAGCGGGACACCCGCCCGAGAGAGAGGGTAGAGAAGGGGGCGGAAAGGGAGAGGTGAGGAATGCCGTTTGATGTACCATGTCGCTTCCGTAAGTAACAACACGTGCCACGCCGCTTCTCACTCAACAGTCCGGCACAGCAGCACACAGCAGGTAGGTGAACACCGGGGAGAATTCTCGAAAAACATGCAGACCAACTGCTGTGTGTATGTGCTGCGGGTTCCAGCAGCAGTAGGCGAGAAGGGTGGCAACAGCAACAGTACCCACTACTGCATGGAAACGCCTACAGCAGTGTGTCGTCGTATCGCACCTGCCTGACGCGACACTCTCAGCCACCGCCGGTGTGAGCACGCTCAGCGCCTCCGTGCTGGTGATGGTGTTGCCCAGCATGCCAGCCAGTGCCGTCAAGAACGCAACAGACGAAATCATGTTTTGGAAGCGACGCTTGTAGACCTTGTTGCAAGAGCAGGGTACAGTAGTAGGATAATCTCCGCGCAGCAGACTGCTTGAGCAACTTCCGGCTGTCACTGAAGGTGAAGAGTAGAGAAGCTTGGTCTGGGTGGAAGGTGCTGTGAGCTTGTGGAGAGCTGGGAGAGGTGGCGGTGAAGAGTGAAAGGAGGAGGGGGCGGCTGCTGTCCTGCTTTCCCGAGACCCGGAAAACCCGTTGAAACATATTATATTCTCGAAAAAAAAGTTCGCAAAAAAAATAACAGCGATGGTCCCGGGCACGGTCCCCGGGTTCGAACGCGGCGGACCATGCGTGCATGATGCGATAGCATCATACGTACAGCATAGAGTGTATATTACCAACATGAGCTGCGGCCACTGATTGTTCGTACAAATGGCCATCTCTCCGCAGCTACATGAAGTCGTATCTGGACTCAGCTCCTTGAAATGGCACGTCATCATCCCGTGAAGCATTTTGGTTGTCTTGGTTTGGTTCATCATGTCCGAAACAAGCTCCGACCTTCCGACGAAAGTGAGAAAGAAGCACGGCAAAACAACGGTAACGCCAACAACCCGGCGCCTACAGCAGTAGTAAACGTGCGATACAATGTAAATGTCTTGCGAACATTTGTTTCGGAACAAATCTTGCCAAGAGTTTTTCCCAAAGATTTTTCCCCGTAAAGATGGGCTCAAGAATTTGATCTACAGTACAGTATCTCCGGCACCAATGCTGTCGGCATCATCTGGATGTACCATGACTTGTCAAGTCAAGAAGAGACGCACACACTGAGGGTGCAAAAATGGACATAAAGCCATTGAGTCCCTTCGTTCCAAACACCCTCCTGCCGGATAGATAGATAGATAGCCTCCTTGTCTTCGTCTTCACAAAAGAAAGATGACTGGACTCAACGTCTTCACATAAAATCATTCGGTCCCAGTTCCTTCATACTTTGCATCGTCCTTATCTTGGCCTCCCGGCAGGTGGCAACTCACAATGCGCGGGGTCGTTATTTTAGTGCTACTGTTGTATAATCCTCTCGATCCAAACACCCAACCTCGATCCGGAATCACTCAGAATATTTCAACATTCCCCTGCACTCGGTGCTTCTTTTCTCCAGTACTGTATCGACGTACAGCAAAATAGGAAGAAGGCCAACAATGCAAATGAGAACGTGACACAGAACAAGTGCTCAGTCACACTCTATTCCTGGCATGAAGTAGTCAGTCCCTGTCGGCCACACCCCGAAGAGTAAAATCGGAGACAAGACTCGAGCGAAAAAAAAACAATACAATCAGTGCTGGTGCCCGCTCCTTCCGTAAGGTATAGGCAGTATCAAGCACGCGAGAAAGAGTACATGCGACACATGCATGCATGATGCGTGATACATACGGACGTATGTGTGACCTGACCCCGCCAATACCACTGCTCTGTCTCTCTCAACGATCGAGGGGTTTGTGGCAATCCCGCATCAAACAATGAAGGAAAACACGAACGAACATGGAATCCACAACCCAAGGTATTCTAAAAACAAAACAACTGAAACGCTTCTTCCACGGTAACTTGCTGACAACAAAACAAGCAGAAGGTCTTCGACAGGCGGACGCAACGCCACTGGTTCGCTTATTGCTACAGCAGATGTGTTTTCTTCCCTGTACAACAACGCCTTCCATCAAACGCATCAGGCCTCGGCTTCTACCGCAAGAAACTGCTTTAGTCTATGCGGTTTCCTTTTCGGCCATGTCTTCCTTCGGCTCGAACCCCATCGCAACGCCGTTCATGCAGTAGCGTAGCCCCGTGGGCTTGGGTCCGTCTGGGAACACGTGCCCCAAGTGCCCGTCGCAGTTCGAACACCGCACTTCTCTCTGCAGCAAGATGGAAAAAACCACACACACAAGTAGGGTTGAGCTGTGGGGGGAGGTGCATTCATGTAACACCCGTGCCGTATCGGTAGACGATTGGTCTCGCATTGTGCAGTCGGATACGTGCCTTGGCTAGCTCCACAGCATCCGTTTCGAGGAGCTCGAACAAGATGGAGGGTGTCTACGACTTGCGAATTATTCTACCGGCGCAATCAATCTCTCTTCATACACGCTTCATGCACGCTTCATGCACGAGGAGAGGGGTGAAGGGTGAAACAAGTGGGGAAATGCAAGCGGGACTGATTGACAGTGCCTACACGTTATGTTACGGTAATCGGGCCTTTTTTTGTAGTCGTGTCAGAGTTGCCAGTAGCTCTACTGTTGTACGTATACGATCATCACCTCACTTTTTGCAGCGTAGATAATCGAACAGCGATACGGGCATCAGAAACATACCAAGCAAAAAACAATAAAGGACCATTCAGGGTGTCAACAAACTCCCAAGCTCGTGTGACACCTGAAGCTGTCGAGGCTCGGTTATAACAGGATGGTGTGACAAAGGCCCTCGACCCTCCCATATCGGAGCCCCCTCTCATACTGGAAGAGGAGGGTGCCCAACAATACTATGGCGGGCCGAGTCTCACAACGCATGTCGACCCACCAATATCGGGGGCCCTTTATTAAGTACCTCTTGGTACCTCTTGTATGGGGGCCACGAGTGTACTATACCAGTGGTACGAGTGTACTGTACCAGTACCAGAAAGTGGTACGCACGTTGTCTGGTGAATCAAAGTGTTCTTATATTGTTCTCACCCTGGGGAAGAGACCTCCCTCTCGAACGACCCGAACGGCTTCCTCCGAAACGGGCGCAAAGAACGAAGGCCTTCCACGAAAGAAACGCAACACATGAGCGTAAGGAGGAGGAGGAGTAAATCACACGCGTGAAGGTATTCACAAGGAAAGTCAGTTAGGCAACGCATGGGATGCATCGTACTGGCAGCATGGGTACGTTGGCCCTGGGAAAACCATCATATGATAGTTCAAGGTGTAGTAAGGCAGTTTTCGTCAACCGTTGCAACCAATGAGTGGGGTAGATAGATGCCCCAGTCAGTTCCAAACACTGCGATAGTTGGTGTTCTCCTGTGGTTGCGCTCACGAGTGTTGCTTTGTTGCCTGCCGCAAACAGGGGCGGTGCTCATGCCGCAACCCTCACCTATGAATACATACCATGTTGAGAATTTTATAAGAAAGTCCCTGGTTGCCTCCCAAAAGCGAATCAGCCGCCTGCTGCCAACTAGCACCAACGCCTGTCGCACCCTCCGGCACCACCGGAACGGAGCAAGTTATCAACGTAGACGGATGACCGGGAAAAAAAAAGCTCTCTCTCACCATCCAGTGCCGCTGTTGTACTTGGTGCTGGAATCGTACAGCTCCTGCCCGCAACCTGCGCAAACGAAAACTCCCTCCCTCTTCTCCTTGTTCAGCGGGGACGTGAACGACGGTTCCGTGCCGCCCTAGTTTTGTAGTCGATGAGAATCAGGAAAATCAATAACGGGAGGCGGTGGGCAAGCACATGGAGGGAGGGGAACAACGTAGGACAAGTCAGCGAGCAAGCAACCTCGCGGCCAAAAGTAGGAACGCCACGGCCATTCCACAGTCAAACGAATGCACCATTTCTGCCATCTTTGTGCGACTAACATGTGCCAAAGAGGGGGTGGGTGGGAGAGGTGGAGGACGTACTTAGTTGGTGCTTTACGTGACAAGTTTTGTCTCGGCGGGCGATGAAAGCAACGAAAAAAAAGGAAGGAAAAGCAAAAGCAAAGCAAGGGTTGAGGCTTCGTTTTGGAGTTGCATACAAGTCCAAGGGGATTTTCGAATTTCATGGAAGGGTTGCTCGCCTGAGTTTGCGACGGATACATACATATTCGCCAAACGTGGAACACAACCACGGACTTGGGGTGTACGGAACGAAACTGAAAATACGTGGGCGGAAAAATGCTCGAAAGGCGGCATTCCTCGTCAGGGGATATTCTGCGTACTGTAGATTCTACGACAAAGAGGTTCCGGAGTGATCGAGGCGGCCGACTCACCATCCTGAGAACGTAGTACTGGTCGGGGCTAAGCTTGTTCTTCCAAGTTTCGTCCGGCTGCGCATCCGCCGCACCGCAGAAAGAACGGGGACCAATAACATGTGAGGGGGTGAAAGGGGAGGATGCACGCACGCCATGTGGAGGAGGTGGAGGCGAGAGTCACGACCATCATGAGCACGGTTCATTTGTCAACTTCGGCGGCGGGGACGGGGGGGGCAACGGCCTGGATTTCCAAGGAAGTAAGAAAACGAACTCCCGTGTACACCCGTTGGTCCTTGTCCTCCACGGACCACAACAATTGTGGGAGACGAGATATAACGCAGGATGCTGACCGTACTTCGGGTGTATTCCAATGGTACTGCAAAAGAGTTCTGGGAAGACGCTCTCCCCGTGCCCGAGGTCATCTCATCACATTGGGGCGAAATAACCCCGTGCGTCGCCACAAAAACAACCAGCAGCAGCCGCAGGAGCAACAGCAACAGCTGCAGCAACAACAACAACAACAACAACAAACAGTACCAAAAAATAACATTTAGCTCAACCCACCTGGTCATCCCTGGCGTTGTCAACAAGTTCGGTGTAGGTCTTCTTGGGGGCAAGATCCTCCGCCACAACCTCCATCACCTTCACAGAAAATACAGCAGTACCGAGACATGACAAATGATATCAATACTGATCGGGGGGGAAAAAATGTCACAGTTTGAAACCTCACTCGCGAACGACGAATGTAAGGACGGACAGAAGAGACACGAAACAGTCGTCACCATCGTGACATGAGGCGTACCGTACCGTACCGTACCGTACCATACCTACCGTACCGTACTGTAGGGCGATGTTGGTGAACTGGGAGCGAGAAGCAATGTGAAACGGCTGACATCATTACACCAAAAAACAGAAACGACCGAGAGTGTACATGAGAGACAATACCGCTGTACACGGAGAAAGGATGCACGTTACGCAAAACCTTGGACCTTCCGCTTAGTGTCACCGTCCAACGTCACGTGGTAACGATTGGCCTCCCACGACAAACTTAAAGATTGCCGCGTGAAAGTTATGACAGGGTCGCTTTCATCCGCTCCAAAATGATCCCGGATCTCAACTGTTAATCCAACTCGTTGCGAAACCCCAATGGCGTGCTCTGTGTGCCAGGCTCGCAAAGACCATGGGAACACACGCCATGCTTAGAGACACAACCCCGAACAAAGGCAAAGACAACAGTCCCGCTCCTGGAGAAACCTATCTGCGCCAGACCTTTTCGAGCGGGAACTCAGTCGTTCCGCCAGAGAGCAGGAACGAAAAAGGAATCTTGTCGATCGGTGCCGTAGGAGCCGCGAGTTATTTTCAAAAGGGAAGCAGTGCTAGGAAATGGCGGATTTTGTTTTGAAACGGCCACACAACACGCCAGTATTCATACTGGTACGATTGGGGCTCTACACTACCACTCGGATAAATCCATTTCCGAGACCCCTGTAAAACTGCAAGAAGACGCCCTACTCAATGAAAACCGCGGCACCCATGTTGCATATCCCTCGTACCCTAAACCTCCAGCATGACGATCCGCCCCTTTCGGCGGTGCTGTACCGCTTGCTTTCGTGGTCAATGCTCAATTTAATCCATCCGTTCTCACAGCTGGTTACCAAAAATGCTTCCGAACAAGAGAGAAGTAAAAACTCAGGCCTACCTTGTTGGTGCTGCTATCCGGCGCCACCACAGCCGCCGCCGCTAGCTTGGCGACCTGCAGTAGTGGACAACCACCGACACACACACAAGCAACACAGCAGTTCGTTAACGGCGTTTAGGGTGCATCATCTGTCGCTGCATCTGCATCCCTTCGCCGCCATACGTGATGTCGATCGAAGCGTTAGACGCTACCGCTGTATCAACTGAGGTTGGTAGCCACGTGCCAAATCGATCCGCGGCATGTTGCCCGTGAAAGACTGGCATTCGTGGGAGTCTCGAAATGGAGTACAGCATGGAGTACGACGCCGAGATATACAAACTGCCCCACACACGACGCCCACTTGTTCAAGGCGCTGGGTCAAAAACATTCGGTCAGGAAAACACGACAAGCATAAGAAAATATCCAAAATCAGCATTGGCATACCCATAGCTATAATACAAGACTGAAAATCGTCTCCCAAACACGCTGCTTAAAGCGGGTATCCCGGGGTAGGTGTTAGCACGACGCCCGGCTTCAATACATCGCGCGTTTTCCCGACATCAAGCCTTGTTTGACAGGAAACTTTGAGAATTTGAAACGAAAACTGAAGTATTAGCTTACTACTTTACCTGCAGCCTGGACACGACCCCTCCGAACAAGGTGTCCTTGGAGGCCACCCTCACGTTGTGGGTCTGCTCGAAGTCGTCCCCGGGCTTCTCCATTCCGCCGGGTCTGTCGAAATAAAATCCAAGCGGACATACATGTTAAAAAGAGGGAAACGGGGAGAGGGTTTTTATAAAGGTCGGCCAGAGCACGAAATCGCGAAAAGACATGATGATGGCTCATCACTCGTGCCGGTGTCGTCACCAAACACCACTACTGACCAGCAACCACGACGACCATGACGAACACAGCAACAACGCGGCACGTTGTATGCAGATTGCCGAGCGTTCGCCTGAGGATAGTGTAAGGTACACAGCACATAGCACGCTCGCCTGAGAATAGTGTAGGGTATCCCGCTGTCGATAAGCGCCTTTTCCGTCTTTCTCTTCCACGACAAGATGCCCCAGAACAGGTTGAGCGCGGACGCCGGCCACCCGAACTTTTTGGGGTCCAAGCAAGCGGAAATCGTGCGGCAACACACAGAAAAAAACAAGATCGGAACAAGAGTGGAGAGGAAAAACATCCGAAAGGCTTGCGTCCAACCGAAACACCTGTGTAAGTAAGCATCATGAAGTCACGTAAACGAACAGAAGAAAAAGAAAATTCATCGGTGTACGAAAAATGTTTCGGAAGCATTGGCTGGGCGGAATCTGACCAAATCAAGCACCGACAACAAGAGACAAGCTACGCGAACACACAACTGATTTGATGTGCGGCATAATCCCACCCGCTTTTGGTGGGCATGAAGAAAAAAAAAAAAATGTATGTCGCAAGCGGCAAGGGCTAGCCGGCAAGATTTCGTGTGCAAAGTCGGAGGGAATGAGTTGTAGCATACCGCCATCAGCATCCCGCCACGCATACCGTAACGAAGAAAAAACAGGAGGGGAAAATGTTGTTGTGTTGTGCAAAGGCGACCGACCTTCCCCGTTCCGAGAGCCGTAACGAGGACGAAGTGCTTCACAGAGGGAGTCTCCTTCGCCGCGAGCACAAGCTTCTGGGACAGCTTCCCATCCACCTTCCATTCACGCGGGTTGGGTTTTTGTTTTTTCAGTCGGGATGACGGGAGAAGAGGAGATCACGCCGGGGAAAAGCGGTGCAGTTTCCGGACGGGCATAACAGGAGTGATGAGTCTAACGAAGGCAGCCGAGAAAAAGGACAAGAAATCCAGTTTGGGGGCGGGCAAAATAACACACTTATACGAGAGAAAGGAGTGGGATTGATTACGTGACAAGAACACGCCGAATGTTCCGGCAGCCTCATGGAAGTAGGGGAGGGGGTAGAGGGCGAATCGGCGAGAACCTACCTTGCCCCGTTGCGATAACGGCGAAGATAATCACAATGTGGGCACTCAAAAAACCACCAACAACACCAACACCAAGAACGGCAACGACAAAGACACTGACAATAGCAACAACAACAGCAGCTCCAGTGACCCCACCGTACAGTACCACCCGTGACAACAGCGGCGGAACCACCAACAACACCAACAACAAGAGCCACGACGAGCCAACACCTGGTAAGGCCCCTTGACGTTGAAAGGTTCCGATTCCGATGCTCCCAGGGCACAGACGACAGACTGGCTCTTGTCCATGGCCTTGCTCAGCTCGAACTCACTCTCTGGGTCCACCCCGACCACCTCGAGCTTGCTCGACAGCCCTGCAGGCGCCGCCATCAGACGGCGTGGCCGTGGTCGTTTGGATGAATGTGTGTATGTACGTGTGGTACTGTTGGCATCGACCGTGCTAAATTTAACCGGCTGAACAATGAAAATACGTCAGTCTCAGTGCGACTGAAAAAACGGAGATAGTGCTAAAGGCCACCATCTGGGACGACATATGTATTCTGTTTGTGTTTTTTGTTGTTGGCATCGCCCGCGCTAACCGGCTGACCAAAGAAAAGAGGCCAGTGGCAGCGGGAAAAATCAACCTAGGTCGCTGGAAGGGGGGCACGCTTCGAAAAATGAGAAACGCTCTGAATGCGAATGCCAAAGTTAATATATATATATCTCCTTGCTGAGAGACACACACCACAGCTCTCCACATGTGTGTGTGCATGTGTTTGTCCCTGTATTGGGCAGGCGCTAGGCTGCAATGTTCGGCAGACGTTTGCAACAAAATACGTGTGATACGATGCAACGTCATCTCTCGAAGGGCGCGAACACGCAAATACAATACCGAAAGCTGCGAAACATCAACATGTGTTCAGGTGCTTCGCAAGGATGTAGATTACCGCACCATGTACCAGTGCGAAAGTGCCAGGATTGCGCCTCTACTCAACCCTTGATCAAGGGAGTCAAAACAAAAGAGAAGACGTGGACATTTTTTGCACACCTTCCGGCATGAAAGCCTTGTCGGCGAAGAGCGTGTTGGCTTTCGAGAGGCTGCCAGGCCTTACCGCCGCTGTCACCTCCACCCCATCCAGCAGCAGCTCCCTGTGCAACACGTCCATTTAGTACCGTCTGGTCATGAGAGTGACGCTGCTGTTGTCAGCGGTATCTCACCCAAAGCCAGCCATCAATGCCCCAGGCGCGACTTGTCAGACAAGCAGGCGCACCAAGACATCAAATACAATCACACGATGCCTCGCGCCCAAGAGGCATCGGTGCAGACAGACAGATGCGTACGTTACAATTGCACGGCCGTGGGGTACAAGAACAAGACAAAATGGAGTTGCAAACAAAAACGACCAAATACTCTAACCGACGGCGCGCCCGTGGTGGTACTTCATGCTTGCAAACCGAGAAAGAGAGTTGGAAAAAAAAGGTGTGTGCCCATTCTTTGCAGACACCGCTTGTATGGTTCGATAGCCTCGAACACGCCAAAATGTCAGACGCTGTCTGTGTCGGTCACGGACATTGGGGTCGTAGCGAGCTAGCCACACTTGGTTCCCGCTGGCAACGACAACAAAGAAAATTACTTGCCCTCCGATGAGGTACTACACACTAGTATTGGTATACTTTGTATGCAGAGTGATCCGCCCTGTGTCCGGCGGGTGAAATCGTGCGACATGGATTATCTCATGCTCTGCACAGCGCCGGGCATGCCCGATAAAAGGCCTCCCAGATCCCTTGGCCCCATCCTGCCTTTTGCAGCAACCGCTACCATGAAAAAACAGCCCGCAACCATCGCTCGAAACACACGGCAATACCACACCTCACGACCCGCTTCCCCAGGCGACCCGTAGCCCCGGCCACAAACACGTTCGCCGGTTTCGCGGTCATCGTTGTCGCTGTTCGTCTCTCGCCCTCTCCACCGCTACCAGCTACGCTGCTACTGGTCGTTGCTGCTGCCAGAGCTCGGCTAATCAACGGCGAGGAAGACGCTCCCAGTCCGAAGGCGGAAGCCGCGCCTAGCCCCGACGCCGCGGCTGCCAAGACAAGGATGGTCTTGGTAGCTGCACACGTCGAACTACCCGCTGATCTGCTGCTGTTGGAGCAGCGTCGGATCCGAACCATGGTGGCTGGTGATCTCCGGGCTGGTTGATGGTGGCGGTGGGCACCGGTGTGTTTGGGATCCAAGCACACGACCCACAGAGAGTATCGGCCAAGAGAGACGGAGAACACGACATGAAATCAGAAAAGATGTCAAGGCTTCTAGCCATGAACGGAATACAAGGACGAAACGCGCTCAAGGCATGGTATTGCCCGCCTTTAACAGTCATGCTGCTCTCGAAACTAAGCTCATCCATACTCTGAGCGTCATGGCATGGAGTAAACGAATGTAATTACCGCAGGTGGAACAGGAATCACACCGTCTGGACCGATCTTCAAAGTTCGACTATTCCGCGACGAAGAAGATATTAAACCATAAGACACGTCTTCCGAGAGCTTTCGAAGAGACGATTCTAGTGCTGTCATTGTCGGCACCGTTCCTCTTTCTGCTTGATAGTATTGTATTCGGGCCTCGAAAGTCAGTCCACAGGGGGTGTGATATCTTGTGTCGCCTACGTTATGTGATTGGCATTTTGGAGACTGCTGTTGTGGGCACAAAGGATTGCATCGCTAACGATGGGCGGAGGGCTGGGTGTAGATACCCGACAGATGCACCGCAGAAGCACCACACACCACTCCACTCCACTCCACATGAGCTGCTCCAAAACAATTGAAGCAGGCGGAGCAAAGGCTGAGCGGCGGGACTGTTGGGTTTGGTTCATGTCATGTCATGTCATGTGTGATGTGTGACAACTTCATGCCACGCAGGAACACCCATCCACGTCAGCTGGTGCGACATTCTAGTACACCCAGCTGCAACACGCTTGCTCGTTCGCTCCAACCCTCCACTACACGAGGGAAGTGACTCAAGGCCATGCTTGCACTGTGTCGAGTGTGCAGCAGCGTAGAAGCGCGGCACGACGTTGGTCGGCTAAGCTCTTCGTCTCGACTCTTCAGGGAGCCGAGAGGGTACAAAGCAGACGATAATTTTACCGCTGTGTTGCCAAACGAGTTGGCTTCCCATCACAACTGGAAGCAAGCCGGCTCACCTGAAACGAAAGCCATGCACCCACAACAAAAGATCCGATGAGCGTAGCCGGGGATGTGACTACAGATAGGGCAGTGAAAGCCTCGTACGATCTGTCGGCGGAAGTGGGACGAGATGTCAATGGACCACGGGGACGATAAGGACGCGTTCCCGGTTTACCAAATTTCTGCATTTCGGTTCGCGAGCGGCCGAAGGCGGGCCATTCGCCATTCGCATCTCGCCGTCTCTCTTCTGGCGCACGGCGTGTCCGTGTTCGCACGAGGTGGTAGTCGAGCAGCCCAGCACGGCGGCGGGGAATAAATGGGCCGTCGTCTCTTTGCTCCGTTTGAGGACCACATACATGCTGTAGTCTACAGCAGTAGCCCGAGCCACAGATACAGCAGCAGTTCACAGGTAAGAGCAACGAAACAACACCAGATGGGCGGACAAGATGACAAGATCCGAGCTGACCTCGCGAGAAGCAGCGGTCCAAGCTCATAGATATGTTGCGCATACATCTGACTAATCTGACTTCCACAACACGGGCATCCACAAATCGGGGCATGCGTTTATTACCCGCACATTTGCCCGCAAAGGTTGACGGTACAACTCATTAGCTTTTGGTGAAATCGCTGATCAGCAGGCTGCCTCGCCGCCAATTCTATTCTTTTAACGATAGAATACAGCAGTGTGGCCATTTCCCCCCGCACAAAACTGACATTTGTCGCAACAGCAGCTACACTGGAAAGGTGAACCCACGCCCAAAGACCCAAACAACAATGCCGCTAATAGTTCAAATACCACCCAAGCAAAGCTCAGAACGTGTCCCCCTACAACAACAACACCGTTGGAATCGAACTTCATGACCCTCCCAACAACTCAGAAGCGTCGAGTTCTCTTCTTGAAACGTTCCAACACCGCGTTATCCGAGCTGTGCTTCAGCTTCACACCCCCCGGGCCTGTTCTAGGCCCCTCC